CCCCTAGGTCTTCTTTAAACTTTAAGCAGATAAACACTTAGCAATAAACAAACATAAAACAAGAGGTTCCTGTAGAGTACTACAGAAAATTAGGATGCTAGTATTTTCCCTAAGTTTAACCAACCCCCGAACCTATAACTCTCTAAGCCTTGCATTGTGGGAATTTCGATCTTTATCCCTTCCTTTGGACAAATCAAAGTTCGGTTGCAAAATGAATTAAAGATTCAAACTAATCAATAGTTTGGTATCCAAATTTTCACCGCGACGGACGGGAGAAGATGTTCTTCCCGACAAGTCTCTGCCCGACGAGGAGGTTTTATTGAACCTTCTAACCTGGTGGAGTTTGGGTCTGCTCGACTATGGGTTAAGCGTCGACTCAGTGCAGAACAAATTCCAACAAATATTATTACATATTCCTTTTGTCTTCCAAACCAAAAGAAGAAATAAATAAGAAATTATGAAAAACAAATAAATAAACAAAATAAATTTTAAAAAAAGAGAAAAAATATAGATGAAGAGCTAGGATGACAGCAGGAGATTAAAAAACAGGAGAACATATGTGTCCGTTGGGACATGCGATCTTCTCATGCCTATGCATACGTTTATTAAAGCAAACATATAATGAATTTATTTTGTTTCATATTATCTCTTTTTGTCTATTTTTTTTCTCAAGATTCTCTAATTTTTATTAAATTGAATTGATTTACCTCCATTCAAATGATATTAAACAAATATATATATATATATATATATATATATATATATATATATATATATATATATATATATATATATATATATATATATATATATATATATATATATATATATATATATATATATATATATATATATATATATATATATATATATATATATATATATATATATATATATATATATATATATATATATATATCATTTTATAAATTTTGATCCTTAAATATATCGTAAAGTTGTATTTTTTTTATATAATTTTTTATCCTTTAAGTATATAAAAGATTTAAATTGGTCCATACCATTGTTTGGTTAGGTGATGAAATTTATTATGTTTAAAATTTACGGAATTATGTTAATTAGCTAATGGAAAATTATTTAATGTAGAATTTAATTGGAGAATAAAATGTTGTGATATTGTAATAATAAATAGATTTTGGGTTCGGTGTTGAAATATATTGTTTCAAGAAAGATTGACAATTTGGATGGAATTGCGAAAGAGTTAAGCCATACTTAATGTGCAACAACCATGATACGTGTTAAGTGTTAACCAAACACATGTGTAACAACTAGTGAAGTTAAGAAAAGAGAAGTTAGATATATATATATATATATATATATATATATATATATATATATATATATATATATATATATATATATATATATATATATATATATATATATATATATATATATATATATATATATATATATATATATATATATATATATATATATATATATATATATATATATATATATATATATATATAGAGAGAGAGAGAGAGAGAGAGAGAGAGAGAGAGAGAGAGAGAGAGAGAGAGAGAGAGAGAGAGAGAGAGAGAGAGAGAGAGAGAGAGAGAGAGAGAGAGAGAGAGAGAGAGAGAGAGAGAGAGAGAGAGAGAGAGAGAGAGAGAGAGAGAGAGAGAGAGAGAGAGAGAGAGAGAGAGAGAGAGTAGTTGGAAAAGTGTTAGGAGGCAAAAAGACATTCTCATCAACAACAAGGAGGAAGGGGAAGTGGAAGCGGATATATCAAACAACAACAACAAGGAGGAGTGGACAAGAGTGTAATATCGTGCGAAGAAAGTGAACTTTGATGGTGGCTTCAGCAGACGTGGTTTCAACCAGTCCAATTATCGGGAAGCAGACGATAAGGAGTTAGAAGGTTCTCATTCCAAAGCAGTGCATTTTTTATTTTTAATTGAGTTTCTTGAGAACCTCGAAGGAAAAGATTTGTTCGATGTCGTTAAGGATTATGGGAAATTAAAAGATGTTTACATTCCTTCCAAGAGAAATAAGAGAGGCAAAAGATACGATTTTGCAAGATTCAGTAATGTGAATGATGTTAGAATATTGGCTTCAAAACTTGATAATATCTTTTTCAGAAAGACCAAGTTGTTTGCCAACATTCCCAGATTCCAAAGGTTCTGGTCTAGAGTAGAGAAGAATCCATCGATACGAAGAAGAAGATGCATGTTTATTGATCATAACATTTGAGTGGAGTGGATCCAAGTCCTCAAAGAGATCACTTGGGGGAGAAACTTTCTTTTTCTCAAGCTATCAAGACCGGGGCGGTAGCTCTCCTTCTCATCCCTTAGTGGACAAGCCCTTCGTCAGATCTTTCATCATGAAAGAGTCAAATTTGTTGCGTTTCAACAAGGCTTTTATTGGAGTGGTGGTGAATCCTAGAATGTCCTATAGTATACAACAATTCTTTAATATGGAAGGTTATTTTTCTCTTAAAACTACTCCACTAGGAGCCAATTTATGTTTACTTGAAGAGATGGTTGATGGGAAAATCAAGCTCTCTTAGAAGATGGTGGAAATTGGCTTAAGCAATGGTTTAAAGAAGTTAGACCGTGGAGAAAGGTCGATGTAGACAAGTGACTTGGCTGAGGTGCTTTGAGATCCCTTCCTTTGCACGGTCGCCCAATTTTTTTGAATTTCTTAGTCAACCCTTCGGTTCCTATGTCTATGCGGGCGAAGAGACGATGAAGCATTCCATATTTTATGTTTCCAAAATCATGATCAAAACTAGTTGCGCCATGGTGATCAACGAAATTTTGAGGATCAAAGTGAACGTGGAGTTTAGAATTAAAAGTATAAAGGATGATCTTGGTCCTTTGTAACTAGCAATTCTAGATAACAAGAATAAGTTTAGTGGAGGTGGAGTTGCTTTATCGATTTCTGAATGGAGCACCGGTGATGACTCTATCCTGGTCGATATCTTGGAATCCGAGGAAGAGGATAATATCAATGGTTCAGGTGTAGGGTGGCTTGGGAGTACCTTTGATAGCAAGTCTAGGGTTGACTTTCCAAAAGTTAGTGTTGAAAATGGGGATTTTTGGATTTCCTCTTCTGGCTCTAATGATCCTACCTTGGTTTTAGAAAAGGAGAACAATATAGGGTTTTTTCACTCTGCTTCTGGAGATGCTTTCAAGAGATTTGAGGTGCCTAGGTCTAAGGTTAGAGTGGCTCATTCCTCAGCTGAGAGGTGTTCATCTCTGGATGAGTCTGTTTTTGGTACTGAACCCACTCTCCCTTTAGATGGGTCGGGTAGAACAATTTTGTTCCAGACTATTTCTAAAGTGATTTGGAGGGGAAAATTTCTTTTTTTCCTAAGGCCCATAAAATGAAGAAGTTCAAGAATAAGTTGGCTCTCTTGGGCGAATCCTCTTCAAAACAAGTAAATCCCAATAGTGAGCTCAATCAACTGTGTTTGTTCAAATTCAAGAAACCGGAAATCCCTAAGTTGTCATCCTCCTTTGCTCCGCTTTTATTCCCTCACAAATTAAAGTCCCACTTTCCATTCCTCATTCAATTCCTCTTCTGATTCCTCTCAAGCTTATTTAGGTGATCAAATTTATGTTGTGAAGAAATGTCAGATTCTGATTTAAGACAGGGAAACCGAATATTCTTGGCCAATTGTGAAGACCAGGTGGTGGGTAGGCTCTAGCTTACGATTCAAGAGCTTGGTATTCAAGAGCAAGAGGAGGATGAAGTTTATAAAGGTTTAATCTGCTCAATAGAACAAATATATAGGGAAGAGAATGTTAAGAGAATGGCTAAAATCAAAGGTTTCCATAGATAATACACAGTTTCAGCTGCAACCATTTTGAGTAATTGTCTTCTCCAACCTTTGTTAGCCGTTTCTTTAATCGACAAAGATTTTTACTCAATCCAGTTTGTAATATTTCTAGGAAGTCCTATTCAGTGTAGGATGCCTTCCCATACTTTGCTTGTTGATTTGCAGTCAAAGAAAAGATGGTTTATTGTTCCAGCACTCTGACAAAAGCTACAAACACCATCATTCCTCACTCAAAACTTTAGCAACCTATAACCTGGCCCTAGGCTTGTCATAGTTTGTAAAGAAAATTTGTTTCCAATTGACATGTTCATTCCCCCTCTTAGCTTCTTGTACATGATTGCAATTTTGAATTTATCTTGTTTTACTATGTTTTCCCAGTCTTGATTATGAATGACAAGATCTCTACTCTTTAGGATTCGTTTGAACATCCAATAGTAGTTGACTGAGGCTTGCCAATGCATAACGTTTCCTTCTTTTACATAGTATTCATCAATCTATTTAACATGAAATTTGTCAGCTTTAGCCTGCAAATTTCAAAGAAGCTTTAGCATTGTGGCTTAGTTCCACTAGATTAGGGATGTAATATTCAGTCCACCTGCATTTTTAAGCTCACACAATTTGTCCCAAGCCATATGCGCCTTCCTACTACCCGCATCTTTACCACTCCAAAGAAATATTCTGCAAATGGCTTCAATTTGCTTAATCGCTTTTTCTTGGCATGGGGGAAAACCTGCATCTATAGCAAACGAAAGACTTTTTAACCAGTTGACATCGACCTGCATAACTTAAGAGATTTGTTGTACAATGTTAAATCTTTATAACTATTCTATCAGTCAGAGGTTGACATTAATAAGTATTGAGTTTTTTACTTGTGAGTGAGACTCCAAGATATTTAAAAGGTAGATGACCCTCATCAAATTTAGTTGCATCAAAAAAATTTCTTTGCTCCTGCAAATTGATACCTCCAAAATAAACCTTGCATTTAAAAGTTTTTTTTTTTTTTTAAGTCTTATGATTGTTTAATAATATAATATATTTTTCCTTGATATAAATACCATAAAGTCTAATTTTTTATATCCATGAAAAAAAAAACACCACTTTTTTAAACCTGGATATTGAAAATATTGAATTGAAAGAAACAAATTATCTGAATTATATTATCCAACCAAAACTCTCTCTCTCTCTCATTGCCATGGAGCTCTGTACTCGAACCTTCACAAACTCTCTCCTTTTCAACCCTTCGTTCTCTCTTTCTTCTTTAAATTCTCTTCTTCGTTTCAACACTTCTCTTAAACCCTTCAAATTCAACCTCTCATCTTTCACTTCTCACATTCAACAACCCTCTCTCTATCATCGAACTTCTTCCCCTTTCGCTATCTCCGCTTCTTCCTCTTCCCCTTCTTCAGTCTCATTCGACTCTGAAAATGACCGTCTTCCTGCTAAATTGAAGGTCACACTAACAGAGGAATCCAATTCCAGAGTATGCTATTTTATGCTGCATTGTTTAATTTGGTGTTTTTCATTTGATAAGATTTGAATTTGAATTTTTTATTTGATACATGATATACAATAATAAAGGATAATGAATGAATTACGATCACCGTAAAATCTATCTATCATGTTTCACAATTTGAACTTCTATTGTAGCTTCTTCTAGAGGGAAATGATTAGCATCACTTTTCAAGTTATTTTCATTTGATTTCATGATTTTGAGTGTTTTGTGTTTTCAAAGTAATTTGAAATGTTCATAATTATTTACGAATATATATATATATATATATATATATATATATATATATATATATATATATATATATATATATATATATATATATATATATATATATATATATATATATATATATATATATATATATATATATATATATATATATATATATAAAATAAAACAAATTAAGTTTATGTTTGTTTAACTTTTGGAAGAGTCAAAAGCAATTATATTATAGAGGTGTAAAATTGATTTTGGAATGATTTTGAAGTGTTTGATTCTTCTAAAGTAACTTCAAAATTAATTCTACTTGAAACTAGAATTTGTAGTTTTTGAGTTTAAACATGGTTTTTACATTAAAATTTACTAATCAATTTAACTTTGCATAAAATTATTCAAATATAAATCGCCTTACAATCAACTCACTTTTAACGAAATTCAAATAAACCATCCATAGTGTACACATAACAGTTCTTTAGGTTATTCAATTGCTTCAATGTAAATTTGTTCAAGTATCATTATTTCGAAATGAATATATAATATTTCTGCACAACATGCAGGTTAGATTGCATGTGGAAGTGCCACCATCGGTATGCAAGGATTGTTACAAAGGGATTCTAGTTGAGTTTACGAAGCATGCAAAGGTGTTATTGGTTTATGCTTACTTCATGTTTATACATTTTTCTCATTTCAATATAGAAGAAGTTTATTCAACAAGTTGTCCGTTAATAAAGTGATCTCCATGCTATCTTTCATTAGTAATTAATGATTTTTTGGTATCTATATTGGAAGATTTTACAACTCATTGTCTTCCATGCAAATTTGAAGTTACTCAATTTTTAAATCTTACGATTTTTACCCTACCATATCATATACAAATGTACTATTTCAACCTCTTTTCAGAAAACATGCTTCTCATTAGTTATAGTAGTATGAGTTAATTTAACATTATTTTATATAAACAGATACCTGGATTTCGTCCTGGACGTAAGGTCCCGGAAAGTATTCTTATTAATTATGTGGGGAGTAAAAATATTCGAAAGGCTACGATTGAAGCTATATTGAGGAGGACAATTTCAGACGCTGTAACATCGGTATGTTGCAATCTGGTTTCGGTTTCCTTAGTTTTGAGACGTACTTACATTATCTCGTGATGTTGGCCTTTTTAGACAATTTTGGGTTCACTATGCTTTTTTGTGACTATACCCGGGAGTGATTCCTTGATCTTGGTTGGGAATCTGCTACCTAACAGCCATATTCATCATATTACCGAAATCTAGATTCGTTCCAAAAAGACAAGTATATCAGTTCATACACATTCTGTTAACACAAACTGATAGTCATCCATTTCTTATTATCAAAGTCTATGGCCGTACGTCTATGTGAGATCTATTTGACAATGAAATGCCTTAACATTGACCAATGTTATAACTGAAAAAATTGGATTATTGGATCAAGTATTATTCTGATCTCACACTGAAACGTCTCATAATCAATTTTGTTTTATAGGTTTCTGGAAGGGCTTTGCGGGATTCTGTAGGTATAGCCACTAAGTTTTCTGAGATGGAGGAAACATTTTCTTCTCTCGGATTTCTTAGGTAATGTATACGTCACAGTTTGAAATGCATTTTCTATGACGCTCGTTTCTTCTCCCTTTTCCGAGTCTATTATACCAAAACTACCTTCTTTCATAAAATCAAAGAAAGAGAAGGTTTTCAGGAAGAATGCTCACATTCTCAGCCGATTATTTCTGCATGTAGATTATCTTTGTTACTCTCACTTATTTCATATTTCCAGATATGAAGTCATTGTTGATGTTGCACCAGAAATTAAATGGATTTCTGATGGTGCATACAAAAATGTGAAGGTGGTTGTTAAGATAGACAGTGATATAGATGCTCACATAGCATCTGAAAGAGAATTTAAAAGGCGTTACAAGTCTACCGGTGTACTGAAAGTTGTTACTGATAGAGGACTACAGGTGATTGAATTTAATTTGCGCTAGTCAACTAAGGGAAAATTGTTTTCTTTTACATTTTTATTGTGATTATTTTCTAAATTTCATTTCAAACCTTCAAGAGTCATTTTATTCTTAGCATTTTTAAGTTCCACCAAACAAACATTCAGAACCCATCCATGTTTCCTCATGTATGTTTTATATTTAGTCGCGGGCTCGAAGAAAAATGTTTTCGTATGAATACGATTTTCTTTTATACGTATTTAATTTTATGCCATCTTGACAATCAATGTGCATTTGAGTTGATATCACATTGGCTAGCTGAAATTTTCCGGTTGCTACAACATACCTTTTCTTGTTTACAGGTTGGGGATGTAGCTATACTTGACATCTCAGCAACAACCATTGATAAGGATGAAACAAATATCAAAAGTATTCCTTCTGCTGAAACTAAAGGTCTGGTGATGTGCTTTGAAATATGTTAATTAACTGATTTGTGACAGCAGTTCTTTTGGGGTGATATATCATGATCATTTTTTCATTAAACCTTATACTACATATGCAGGAATTAGTTTTGATACAGAGGAGAGTGATCCATTAATACCAGGTTTCCTTGATTCTATAATTGGAATCGGTCGAGGCAAAACAAATTCATTTCCCCTTGTTTTTCCCGAAACATGGAGGCAGGAAGACCTCCAGGGTGTTCATGCTCAGTTTACAGTAAGTTTCTAACGCTGAATTAAAAAATTAACTATTTTAGGAACACGAGTCGGCAGAGTAGTTTTTCTTTTGGTTTTATAAGATACCAAATTGTTCACCAACATGTATAGTTTGTGGATGTTTTCTATCTTAATATTTTCTTGTACCTTTGATTTGTGTGTATGAACTTGCGTGGCAGTTACACTTTCAACGCATCAACTAATTAAGTTTCTCTTTCATTTCTAACAGGTTGAGTGCAAAGAACTTTTTTACAGAGATTTACCAGAGCTGAATGATTCAATTGCTGATAAACTTGTCTCTGGATGCACCACAGTGGAACAGGTGACTTTTCTCACTCAAGTGCAATTATCATTGTAAAATGTAAACTAAAAATTGTATTGTTTGAATTGAGATTAAAATTCTCCAACATGAATTTCCAGGTCAAAGAATTACTGTTACAGAGATGTCAAGAGATAGAACAAACAGCTAGGGAACAAGCAACTGATAATGCTATATTAGAACAGATTTCTAAGGTAACATTACATCATTAAGTAACAGTACTAGATTGAACCTGTTTTATCTTCTAGATTAGAATGTACCTCGCAACATCTTTTCATTATGCATGCTTCTTTTTTAATTTTAGGCATATATTCATATAACCATTCTTCAATTTCTGCAACTTTGCTAGATTCTGCAACTTCTGTAATCTTTCCACTTAATATTCATATTATCATTTCAGATGGTAGAAATTGATATACCTCAATCCTTGTTTGAGGAACAAGGTAGACAGTTTTATGGAGCCAACCTATTAGAAATGCAGGTATTGATTCAAGTAGCAACATTTTTTGGCCAATCAGGAAACTTTGATAATACGACCCTAATAAATTTTACATTTGTTTATGATTTGAAATTAGAAAAGGAAACAGAAAATTCTATAGGACTAGCACATACATTTATTTACTAGTTCTTATTTGGAAAATTGTGATGATTCAGACAAAAGTAAAACTAACTAAGGAGCAGCTGGCTTCTCTATCAAGTCCAAAGGCTGTGAACGAATATCTTGAGCATCATAAAGAAAATATAACAAATAAAATCAAACAGAGCCTGGCAGTAGGTGACATATATAGGCGAGAAAATATGGAGGTATGCCTGTTTGATTAAGATATGTTTTTATACAAATATTTACTCAGTTCAACTTTGTCAAAAGCTGTTAGAAGTGTATTAGGGCCACACAGTTTAATCTGATTGAGAAATAACATTTTCTTTACATATCACATTCTTTATGTCTGTGTATTTAGCAAATTATTTGGCTTATTAGAATGATTTGTGGCTGTATGTTCTCTAGATCCCTATTGAAGACATCGTCAAAGAGGTTGAGCATTCTATTGCTGAATTCAAACGTGAAAAAAAAGAGTATGATGAGGAACGAGTAAAGGATCAGGTTTGCACTTAACTTTTTTAATTTGCTTACTGTTATTTTGTTTTCTTAGTTTTTTGTTTCGACCTCTTATTCATTGCATTTATGCATATCCAAATTAAATTTTATTGTGAGCGGGTCTTTAAAATGAATTCACTTAGGGATAAACACTTCCCACTTGCATGGTTTTTTTTAAACAACAAATAGAATATAAAGGGCACTCGAACCCGAATACTAAAAACAAAGGAATCCGAAAGGATTGCATAGTATGTTGATTAGCAAAAGTAAATGCATTATGCAGACAACGGTAAGTTTAGGTTAGGTTGCATTTTTCATTTTCAAGGAGGAAATTTGTGTTTTGAACTTCTTTCTTTCCTCTAATTTAAAGATTGATTGATAATATCTGTTTGAACTTTCCTGAAGGTTCAAGAAATACTAGAAGGAGCTAAGGTGCTTGAATGGCTGAGAGAAAATGCAGACATTCAGTATATAACAGTATGAGAGGCGAGCACCAGCCAAAACAAATTAGGAAAGTGAAATTGCAGATCCATTTAAAAGAATCTCCTTTCGGCTGATGTAAGTTACGAGAAAATAAACTATCCTTGATTGAATTTTGTAGAAAGAACTAAAGAATAAAAGTCATGCGTTACTAGTGATGATAAATCTTTTCCATTGAAAGTAGAAAGCAATAACAAAAACTGGAAGTTGTAAATGCGCCTAAGAGGGGGGTGAATTAGAATCTGAAAAATTATTTACAATCTTGGTTCTTGTGAAAGAAAGCTGTGAGAGTGTGAAAGTTAATTCAATGGCTTCTTTCAAAAATGGTTTTGAACACTTAGAATGAAAATTTAAGGATTGAAGAATGTGAGTAATTTGAGTGATTTTGTTTCTTGAAGGTGAATTGTAATTTTGAAATTGAAAACAATTTATACTGATCAAAAACCTTTTCAAAAGGGTGTGATTTTGGAGCATGAAAAACAGTCAGAATTAAAAATGGTAATCAATGCAATATTTCATGAACAACTGTCATTTTTGCTTGCTGCTTCAGTGTTAATCGGTTAACCAAATGGATTAATCAGTTAACACCTTACAACGCTCAAAAGAATTCAAAATTTACATGTGTTAATCGGTTAACCCTATAGGTTAATCGGTTAACACTGTAACAAAATCACAAACTACTTAATTTTGAAGTGTGTTAATCAGTTAACCAATGTGTTAATCGATTAACACTGAAGGTTTTTCAGAAAATAATTAATTTTAATAAGAGTGAGTATTTTAAAATGGTTTTAACCGTGTTAGTGTTATAAGTGAAGTGAAAAGTGATTTTATGAAAACTTGTATAAATATTTCTAAGTACTATTTGTTATACTGTTGCTTTGAACATCATCATCACTTTGATGTCCTTGTTTGATTGCTTGATTCTCTTACTTTTTGCGAAGAATATCTTGCGTACAAAGTTTGTTCTAGTTGTCCTCATCAAAACATTAAAGGCCTTGAAGCTTACTTTTACAATCTCCCCCTTTTTGATGATGACAACCGATTCTTGAAATTTTTCTTTGAGGTTTTGTTTCTATACATTCCTCCCCCTAAGTTAGAGAGCTCCCCCTAAATACAAGAGAGATAAAACTTTTATGTACAGGGAAATGTTAGAGACCAATCCTTCTCCCCCTTTGTCATTAGCAAAAAGGAAGAGGAGCAATAAAAAAGAAAGTAACTAAGCACACATAGTAAAAACACAATCACATATACTTAACACATAAAACAGAACTTTGTTGATACGAGACATACGCACATAGTACGATTACGAATACAAATACGAAACATAAAACATAAGGCATAAACTTAAAACAAATTATAGAAACCAATAAAAAAACACAAACAAGTGCTTTTTAAATGTCATCATCCGACATATCCTCGGTCGCATCTTCTTCCTCTTCACTTCCGTCCTCATCGTCGTCATTTTCGGCATTGGAAGTTTGATATCGCAAGTTTTCGGAGAGAGTTGATCGCCCGAGTGGTTTCTCTATGTTGGTTCATCATGGTGATGTAGAGAAATTCATTTGTGATTCCGCCTTCCGGAATGGGATAAGGATGATCGGAGGAAGAAGATTCGTCTGCATACTTGTACGATCCATCAGTGTCTTTCACTATGCCAGTATTCTTGATGATTGTGATTTCATTTATCTCGTTCGCAGTTGGTTTCAAGGTAATTGAAGGTTCTTGGTTCAAATTCAAATCGGTTAATTCGAGAATTCTGGAGATGAGTCGCCCGTATGGAAGTCTAGTAGAGAGGGTGAGTTGTTGTTGGAGGTGGTACATCATAGTTAATATCCAATTAACTCTGATTTTGTTCTTGATTGCAAACATCAATTACATCTCCAGGTCATTGATCTGAGCATGGTTAGAGTCTTTTGGAATCAAAATATAGCAGATGATATAGTGTAACATCCGGTCATTGACAGATAGATTCTTAACATAACACAGTGTGCGAGCAGTCCGTTGACCCGCAATGACAACCACTCTGGGAAATCTGCAGATGCTGTAGTAATACTCCATTTTATCGTAATTTGCCCAGGGTCCTTCCACATGGTTGACACCTTTTCGGAGAAAAAATCCCGTGTACGGAATTTTAAGAGTTGCAGCAATTTTTGATAGATCTTCTTTCAACTCAAAATCGCGAACCGTAGTAACCAACATGTGTTGTTCATCCTCATTGAAATGAATAGATAATTTGTTCATGAAGGATTTCACCAAATCCGGATAGCAACGTTCGTTATCAAAGACAAAATTATCTACTTTTTGAGATTTCAACAATGCTGGGAAATCGAAAGAAGGAGCTGGAAAAGCTTTAAGGTTAACATATTTTACCGTAAATAGTTGACGAACCCTAACTTTGAAATCCATTCTCCTCTTTTTGGTTGATTCCATTTGAGTGAAATCTTCATCAACCGCGGAGCTGCTCTCCGGTAGCTTTCCCTTTCCCTTGTTGTTTGGAGCCATGGATTAGGGTTTGAGTTTCTGAGGGTTGGATATGTTCTTCTGGAGTTTAGGGTTTGTGTTGGTGAAGATTGTGAAAAGGAATAGGTTTATATAGAGAGATGATTTAGTAGGAATTTTAAGTGAGAGTTATGAGTGGGTAGAAGTTGGAAGGGGGTATTAACTTGGAGTCAACAAAAAGAAGATGTTTTCCAAGGATAGTGGGTGATATAATCAAAAAGCACATGCACCACACATAAAAAACACTTAAAACACATTAAAAAAAATTTTGACCAATTTTCGTTTCTGTTTTTTGAAAATACAAACAGTGTTAATCGGTTAACCGTGGGGGTTAATCGATTAACGCATTAAAAAATTAATTTTCAAAACAAAAATTAACAGTGTTAATCGGTTAACCGTGGGGTTTAATCGGTTAACACATTCAAAAATGCAGAAAAAGTCAAAAACAGTAAGTGAAACAACTTGGTATTCATAAGAGTTTAGATGTCACCTTCATCGAGAATTCTGAGTTCTCGCCGAATCTTGAAGAATGGTTCTTTTGCGAGTGGCTTTGTGAATATGTCAGCGAGTTGGTTATGCGTATCCATAAAAGTGACTTCGACATCTCCTTTAAGCACGTGATCACGGAGGAAATGATGCCGAATGTCGATGTGTTTGGTTCTTGAGTGCATGACCGGATTTTTTGTGATGTTAATCGCACTTGTGTTGTCGCATCGGAGAGGAATGCATCCAAGATCAATTTCGTAGTCGCTTAATTGTTGCTTTAGCCAAATATTTTGTGCACAACAGCTTCCCGCCGCTATGTATTCTGCTTCAGTTGTACTAAGAGCAACGCATGCTTGTTTCTTATATGACCACGAAACTAATGCATTTCCAAGGATGTGACAGGTTCCACTCGTGCTTTTTCGATCAGTTTTACAGCCTGCATAATCCGCGTCAGAATAACCAATTAAAGTACAAACACTACCTTTCGGATACCATAAGCCGACGTTCGACGTTCCCTTGAGATATTTCATGATTCTTTTGACTGCCGTGAGATGTGACTCCTTTGGATTTGCTTGAAAGCGAGCATATAAATAAACACTAAACATTATGTCAGGACGGCTTGCCGTCAACTATAATAACGAACCAATCATACCTCGATACTTTGTAATATCAATTGATTTTCCCGATTCATCTTGATCGACGTAGGTTCCGGATCCCATTGGTGTTGACATAGCTTTGCATTCATTCATATCAAATCTCTTTAACAACTCTTTGAAATACTTCGATTGGTTGATAAAAATTCCGTCTTTTAGTTGCTTGATTTGCAATCCAAGGAAGTAATTCATCTTTCCCATCATAGACATTTCGAACTTGCCTTGCATCATTGAAGCAAATTCTTCACATAGTTCCTTGTTTGTTGAACCGAAGATGATGTCGTCCACATAGACTTGAACAAGTAAGGTATTATCCTTTATCTTTTTGATGAATAAAGTCTTGTCTACCTTTCCCTTTTCAAAACCTTTTTCGCATAAGAAATTACTTAGATGATCATACCATGCCCTTGGTGCTTGCTTTAGACCATAGAGAGCTTTCTTCAATTTGTATACATGTGAAGGATGCTTGAAATCTTCAAAGCCCAGAGGTTGTTTGACATAGACTTCTTCGTTGATGTATCCGTTCAAGAAGGCGCTTTTGACGTCCATTTGAAAAAGTTGAAAGTCCATTGAACATGCATAAGCAAGTAATAAACGAATAGCTTCTAACCTTGCAACCGGATCGAATGTTTCTTCAAAGTCAATTCCTTCCTCTTGATTGTACCCTTGAGCCACCAATCTTACTTTGTTTCGAACAATTATTCCATTCTCATCAAGTTTGTTTTTAAACACCTATCTTGTTCCAATGATATGTTTATCTTTTGGTCTAGAAACAAGTTTCCAAACTTGATTTCTTTCGAATTGGTTTAATTCTTCTTGCATAGCAATAATCCATTGACCAGCTTCAAGAGCTTCATCAACTTTAGAAGGTTCTATTTGAGATACGAACGCCATATTCAAGCATGCATCTTTGAGATTTAATCTTGTAGCAACACTTTGACTTATGTCTCCGATCACTTTGTCGATAGGATTATCTCTATGAGTCCTCCATTCTTTTGGTAGATCGTTGACATTGGAATCTTGTTGAACCGATCTTTCTTGCTCTTTAATGATATCTTTAGAAGTATCTTCTTCGGGAATTTCTACAAATTCATCATCATTATCACAAACCACAATATCCTCCTTGGAGGGGTTAGATTCATCAAATTTGACATGCATAGATTATTCAATGGTTAAAGTTCTTTTATTGTAAATTTTAAAAGCTTTACTAGTAAGGGAATAACCAAGAAATATACCTTCATCTGATTTTTTATCAAACTTACCAAGGTTGTCTTTGTTATTGTTTAAGACTAAGCACTTACACCCAAAGATGTGAAAATAGGAAATGTTTGGCTTTCTCCCTTTGAAAATATCATAGGGGGTTTT